AGTGTAGTTGAAAATTCTCGCAAATATAATCGCAATTGTTATGGCTTGTAACAATTACTCCTACCAAAATTGAGTTTTTCGAAGAAAACCCTTTCTAATTGCCTTTCATTCGTCATATCGAGATACCAACCAAATAATTAATTTCACTTCCATTAAATACCCATTGGGTGTAATTGCCGCCCTTGACCTCAGTAGCTTCAATTGCTTTATTTATTCGTAGCATAATTTACCATGTTAGCAAGTTTACCATGTTGTCTTGTCTCATTACGGAACGATTTGAATAAAAACCATCAGCTAATGCAGCAAAACACCTTGAAATTTTTGTGAGCTCGATGACCGTTAAATCATCGACCGTTGAAGACTGAGGGGGTCCGATTGTTCCGAAACGGTTACAGGCGTGCATAAGTCAAGTCCCCCTCTTCTGGTACCCGTTTTCCACTTTGGTACCGTCGCGCTTAGTACCTACCTGTATCGCGTTTGAAAAACACACCTGCATTTTATCCGAGAACTTTTCTTTGGAGTGAAAACGCGGAAAAAAAGTGAAAACTTTCCCCTGCTGCCCAATCGGGAACACTGCAGTGCATGAACCACTGGATTATCAAGCCAGGTAATCACAGGTTCTGGTTTAAGTGCTTTTGATAGTGACTTGGTTGTTAATTTGATGTGATTGCGGGAGTTTCGCGGTGATTCACTTTGATAGGGCCACACCTGTGTCTATGTGGCAACGCTGAATAATATCAAAACGACTTTAATTGGATCATTCGGCAGTTAACAGGGTGATTTGATCATGTTCAAGTCCCACATTGATATTCGTTTGTTCTGCAAGCAGCCAATCGTAACGCGGATTGGTCGTTTGGTGGCCGCCTAAACGCCAGATCTAAACCCGTTAGGCCACATCGCGAGGGATCATTTTCGTTATTATGAGAGTCAAGGATGTGCCTTTCACTTTTGAAACTGTTTTTGACTGGTTTGTCCCAGTTAGTTTTGCTCTTTTGGATGGTTTTTCTCGCAAGGAGTTTAGGAAATCACGCGCGAATTATCCATCCCCATTAGCAGTGCGAAGGGAATCACGCGCTGGAAGTTAAAGTAGGCTGAATATTCGAAATAAATTTATAATTTGAGCCAATCAAACGCTGATTATATTATATTATAGATTCAATAATTTTACTCTTCTGGAAGATTCAGATCATAAACAACGTCTCGTCAACGTCATAACAAACGTCTCCTTTTCTGACTTTTTTGTTGTATTTGTGTTCATGCTTGCTAGTTCACTGTTCAATCTACTCTTTTTCTGATTAATTCTACATCCTTTAACAATGAAGAAAAACTGTTTGTTTGGCATTGACTGACTTTCAATTCTAATTGAATCTTTCCTTCTCATCGTTTTATCGTCTTTTTCAATATCCTTTGTTCCATTTTCTGCTTTAAATATGTTTCTCGTTCGTTTTTCTAAACAGGCTTTGAGCAATGCAGAAACGCTGATTGTTTGGTATTGGGTGACTTTCTCTTCTAATTTTATTTCATCTGCATTGTTTTCTGGTTTTCCTAAATAATTTTCTCTTTCGTCTGATTTGGTCTGTTTGTTTTTCTTCCTTCTTTGCTTCGGTGGTTTGTTCATATTTTCAATGCATTGCTTAATAGGAGGATTCAGATCATCTACAGTTTCGTGTTTCGCCTTTATTTGTTATGTTTGTTTTCAGTCTTGCTTGATGCATTTGCATTCTTCTTCTGCTTCCCTCTTCTATTTTAAATAATCTTATTCTTCAAATCTGTTAATCTTTTAATTTTTTTATGCGTTGTTTTATGGGTTTTTCACAAATTAAATCAGCAGATTTAAAAAATTATTGATAGTTTCCTTATTCGCCTTGGTTTCTTCTTTCCAATCTTGTGTGTTGAGTTTTTATCATTCCTTTGCCTTCTTACAAACAGGCCTTCAAAGGTGAAGATTCGTTTGATATGGCGAAGTTTCCTATTCTAATTTGTGTTTACTTTTTATCTTATTTTCGTTGCATAATCGTCTTGAGGATTTGGATCATCGACATTGTCTTGATTTCATTGTAAATTTTTTATTGTTTCTGATTTTTTTTCTTCTATTTTAAAGGAAACTTAACAACCAAGACTGAAAACAAACAGATCAAGCAAATGCGAAAGAGTAAACTATTCATAAAATACCTTAGCGTTTTTGCTTGAAAAAACGCTGTTTGATTGTTATTGAGAGATTTTGTGAAATAATTTCTTCTTCGTTTTTATTTTCTTTACATTATTGAATGGTTTTGCTACAGATTTAGATCATGAACAGTTTACTCTTTCGTCTTTGCTTAATCTGTTTGTTTTCAGTCTTGTTTGTTAAGTTTCCTTTCTTCATCAACTTCTCTATTCTGTGTCCTAACAGTGTCTTCTTTCGCTTTTTAATTAAATTTTCAATTGTTTGCACTGCCTGTTATTATTCTTTTTTGCGAAGTTTTCAGTCGTCTTAGTTTATGTTTTTCTGGTTTAAATAACCTTGTCATTTTTTTCTTGGTAAAAAACGCTCCTTGTTCATGTTTGAGCAAATTTGTATTCTAATTTGTTTCCGTTTTTATTTTCTTTGCACTATTGAATGATTTATTTGGAATTCATTTTTTCTTGGTTTTCCTGAAGAATTTTCTCTTTTGTCTTTTTTGATCTGTTTGCTTTCCTTCTTTCTCTGCTTCGGTGGTTTGTTCATATTTTCATTGCATCATCAACAGTTTCGTGTTTTGCCTTTATTTGTTATATTTTTTTCATTCCTGTTGTTCATCTTTCCCTCTGCTTCTGCTTCGTTCTTCTGTTTTAAATAATCGCGCCATTCAGATAAGATAAACGCTTGCAACAATAATGGAACGCTCTTGTCTATTTTAGCTTAATTTTTATTTTATTTTTTCATTGTTCGATAGTTTTCTTGATATCTCAGATCATGAACAATTTTCTCGTTCACCTTTGTTCTGTCTGATTTCGTTCTTGTTTGTGGGGTTTTGGTTCTTCTTCAGCTTCCTCCGATGTTTTAAGCAATATTGTACGCTTTTGAATACCTTTTCCATTTTGTTTATTCCACTTTGCATGTTTGATTTTTGTCGTTCTCAGCGTCCTTCTTCTGTATTAATTAATATTGCCATTTCGTCAAAAAATAGACTTTCAAAAATGAAGAAAGGTGTTAGTTTGGTATGCGTGATTTTGCATTCAAAATGATTTTTTTATTCTTGTTTTCTTTACACCGTTCAATGATCTTTTTCAAGATTTGGAAGATAAACAGTGTCGTCTTTCACTTTTGCCTTCTTTTGTATCTCGTTCAGTTTTCAGTCGTCATCCGCTACTTTCGTCTGTTTTAAATGATGCTCCCATTTTTCTCAATAAACGAACCCATATTCTATGATATTTTTTATTATTTCCTTCATTTCGTCTAACGTTCTGTTTCCATTCGTTCTCTGCTTCCTTATTCTGTTTTAATAATGTTGCTATTTCTTTATTTTATTTGTTTTTATTGCCTGCATCCCTTTATTTCATAGTTTCCTGATTATTTGGACGATGGACATGGTCCCCTTTGGCTCTTGTTTGTTCAGTTTCATTCGTTTTTCGCTGTCTTCTCCTGGTTTAAATAATATTGACATGTTTTCTTCGCATCATTTTATACTTTTTCTTTGGGATTTGGACCATGCACAGTGTCCCCTTTCGCTTTGTTTGTTCGATTTCGAGTTCATTGTTGCTTCTTCACGTTTCATTGCTTCTCTGCTTCCTAATTCAGTTTAAAATAATCTGGCTATTTTTTAAATAAACATACTTGTAGCAGTCAAAAAAGCGGTTTTTTGGAATTGAACAACTTAACATTCCAGTATCATATTTCGTTTTTGTTCCTTCCATTTCATTCCGATTCTTTTTTGTTCAATTGAATTCCTTCTTTTTTATATTCTTGCTATATGCTTAAAATGAAAAGACGTGCACTATGCAGAAAGCATGTTTTGCTTTGCATCTTCTGATGATATTCTTGAGGCTTCAGGCCATGATCATTTCCATTTTTTGGCTTGGTTTGTTCAGTTTTCCTTCTTAATCTCTTAGGTACCCTTTTCCGTTTTAAATGATCGTTTTCTCTGTACTTTTCCTCAATTTAACACGTTGAATGCGGTTGTCTTCAATGAACTTTAGCATTCATTTGCAGGTCGAATCATCAACACTCGCTCGACCAGCCATAATATAAAATTGATCATGATTTCGCTAGTGGATACTTTAATGGTTTTGTATTTATTGCTGGCTTGCATTTATTAAATAAACAGTGTGTCACTAGTCCATAAGGTCGAGTTCCAAGCGCACTTATTCCTAGAATCACTGATTAATCGAGGTGCATTTCCAGCGCAGTAAAAATTGCGAAATTGGAGAAAAAAATTAGGAACAAGTTCATGGTTCAGAGAAATTGTCGACCTAGAAAGTTCCCAGCAATAACCAATCAACGTTGCGGTTTATTGGCGATTTAAGTAAAAAAACCCGCAAAATGGTGCTCCGATTTCCCAATCAATGACCAGCTAGCTTTCAAGCGAATGATCGAGATATTACTGATGTCTTGTGTTTAATAATCGAAATAATCATTCGAATTGTTTTTCCTTCACATCTACCTAGAGTTTCACCCTGTTATAACATTAACTCACTCATCTTTAACAGCGACTCGAGTTAATCCGATTCTTCCCACATCATTCGAGTTGTTTCATTAAATTCTTTTAATTCTTAAATAAAAAATTATCCCAATCCAGATTGAACATCGGAGTTTTTTAACAAAAGAAATACAAATAGCGTGAAACTTCCACTGAAACCCACTACCCAAGGGGTAAATCACCGTGGCCAATGGGCAAATAAACACCCTTTGTCTATGTGATGCTGAGGGTCCGACGGATGATTTTGGCACACTTTTAGGGTCGATTACCTGCTGTGAGCCAGCTACCGTTTTAAATGCATTGAAAATTGATGATTTAGACACTAATGCCTCATTTTCGCAGGTTCAAGTCAGTGTAGAAAGCAAGCCGCCCATTCTACCGCCGCCCGAAACTCTTCGAAGTTTGGACCTGCATAAGGATATTTATATTAGATGCTCCCGATCCTGGAATAGGGACGCGCGAGAGTTGGCCGATATCTTAAACCAGCCCCATATAAAGTAAGAAACCTTTACCCACTTTTTTAAATTAAAAAGTCTGTTTTTCATTCGTTCTCTGCGTTCTTCTCCTGTTTCAAATTAATCTCGCCATTTTCTTGCAATTTTACGTGTTTTCTTGTTCAGTTTTCATTCCTTCTCTGCTTTGCTGATTTGTTCTTTGATTTCTGCGCATTGTTTAATAGACTTTTTGAGCATTCAAGCTTCATATTTTCCTTTGGCTTTCATTCGTTCTCTGATTTCTTGTGCTGTTTTAAATAATGTTGTCATTTCTTTCTATTATAATTTGATTTTCCTAGTTTTTTCCACTTCGTCTAGTGGTCTTCTTAAAAATTTACTCCATAGACAGGGTCCTCTTCCGCTTTCGTTTCTTCTGTTTTTATTGCACTGTTGCTTGTTGCGTTTCCATTTGATCTCTGCATCCTTCTTCTGTTTTAAATTCTCTTGCCAATTTTTGCATTACAATTTGGTTTTTATTGTGTTCTTCGCATTGTTTTATCATCTCTTTGAGGACCAGGGACCCCTTTTGATGTTGTGTGTTCTGTTTTGTTTCGTTTTTATTCGCGTTTCAACAGTTTTCCTTCTTATTCTTTTACGTTCGTCTGTTCTAAATAATAAACAGATTTTGGCCGATGGAGAAGTTCTTATAATCAGTCACTTTCGTTCCCTTCTTTCTTCTATCTATTAATGGTCTTCTACAAGTTTTGGAGCATGGAAATTGACTTTTTTTGCTTTTCTTTGTTCTGTTTCATTTGTTTTTCATTCTTATTATGCGTCGCTCATTCGTTTTAAATCGTCCTGCTATTTCCTTTAACTAACAGACTTCGAACGATGAATAAAAGCTGTTTGTTTGGTTCTGAGGCTGACTTTACATGCTAATTATTTTTTTAATTAATTAGCGTTTTCGTTCGTTCTCTGCTTCCTTCTTCTCTTTTAACTAAACTTGTCATTCCTTTACATTATAATTTATTGTCTTTTTTATTTCTGGCTTCTATGATGTTACCGAGGATTTAGACCATGGACTGTGTGCTTTTTCGCTATTGTTTGTCCGCTGTTATTTTATTATTGCTTGCTCACTTTTCACTCACTTTGTTTGCTTAGTTTTCGTTCATGCTCTGGATCCTTCTGCTATTTTAAGTAATCTTGCAATTCATTTGCATTCGATTTTGGTTTATTCTTATTTTCTTCACTTAGTTTTATAAACTTCTTCAAGATTCTCTGCTTCCTTCTTTCTGTTTTAAATAATCTTGCATTGTTTTTGTATTATAATTTGCTGTTTCTTGTCTTCTTCGCTTTGTTTAATGGCCTTTCTGAGGATTTGAACTGTGAATAGTGACCTCTTTTGACTTTGTTTGCTCTGTTTTGGTATTATTCGTTCTCTGCTTTTTTAGCACTGCAGTTTTAAATACTTTTGTCACTTTTTTTAAACTGATTTTCAACAATCAGAGCTTTTTGTTAGATATTGAGTGACTTTGTCCCGATCTACTTTAAGTTTTGTTTGTTCAGTGTCCATTCTTCCTTAGCTTGTTTCCTCTGTTTGAAACAACAATGCAAATTAATTTTGAATAAACATCCTTAAAACGAAAATGAAAATATGTTTCCTTGCTATTGAGTGAGTTTGCATCATGTTTTTTAATATCGTTTGCGTGCGTTCTGTTTGGTTTCTCAATATTGTTCGTTCAGTTTTTATTCTTATTCTGCGTCGTTCATTCGTTTTAAATAATAGTTTCCCATTTCCTTTGACTACAGATCTTAAACGAT